AGGCTAATATGTAAAAAAAATAAAAATTTCACATAAAAATTATTTTTTCCGTATGAATTTTTATATATATACATGAAAAACTTTTATTGCTCTAGGGTTGACTTGAGCTCGAGGGCGGAGCTAAGATAAAAGAATTTTAGGGGCAATTTTCATAAAATTTTAATTGCGAAGGCGAAAATTCAAAACTATAAAGATTTTTTTGAAAATCTTGAAAATATGTTGGACATAGTTTGAAATTTTAAATTCAGTGTGGGGGCAACTAACCCCACACTAAGTCCGTCCTTGCTTGGGCTAATCCTCCTGCATCCACTAGTAGCAATCACAAACCTTGATTTGAGTACAAATTCAAACTAATAAAGTGTAATAAACGATTAAGAAAATTAACAACTAAAATTAAAAACAAGCCTGCCTAGTGATTTCGCTCGCTCAAGTGAACTATATGTCTAGCTATTCCAACAAATCTTGTTCCTCTTTCCGCTTTGTCTCAAGTGAGCAAAGGGCTAGCGCGGGTCAGCAATTCCAGCAAACCTTGTTCCTCCATAGTGAACATGCCTGTTGAGTTTGAGGCTTTCCATGAAGTAACGCTAAGCTGTTTCGTGCATCACTTTGTTCAACCAAATATGCGGCTATAGTAAACGAATCAAAAGCTAGAAACTTACTAGGAAATGTTCAATGCGTATTGGGAAGTTGGAAACCTTTTGTGAAATTATGATTACTATAAACATTTGCTATGTTCAATGTGGAGCGGTATTCTAAAAGACGCGTCTGAACGTCGTCAAGGTGCCTCTTAGAGGCAATGTGCGGCGGCAATGTCAAGTTGGCTTGACATCTTATTTAGCAGTCGATGGCAACCGTTGATCCCTAATGCGTGCCTCGACGCAATTATTCGCGCTGAGGCATGCATTATTATTATTATTATTATTATTATTATTATTATTATTATTATTATTACAATTCTTTTAAATTAAAAGTTAAAGGTTGATTTACAATTGAAACTTATCTTTTTGTTGGAAACTTTTAAAAAAATGTAAAAAATTTCTATCATCTCTTTTACATATTTGATAGGTATTATTTTTAATTATTAAGTCATTTTTTGATTGATTAAAAATTAAAATAATATTAAAATAAGAAAATGCCTTTTTACGGTTTTTTACACATGTGCCTCGCTTAAACTCGCATAACCCATAGCTTGGCCAAATCCACACATTATGTCTTTTAGAACATTGATGTGGGGACCACATTTCCTGCACTTTGTATTCATCGATTATTTAGCTTAGAGATCTCAACGAGCCTAACCGAGTTGGCTCGCGAGCCGAAACTCGAGGCTCGGGCTCAACTCGAATAAAAATGGTTTGAGTTTTTTTGATCCTATCCGAGCCAAGCTTTTATTCAGCCAAAAATCTAGGCTCGACCCACGCTTTCGACGAGGGCCATATCGAGCCAAAAGGCTGAGCCTACTCACATTTTTTTTATTTTTATATCACGGGTAGTTATCGTTGTAGGCAGCTGCACGTTGCAGCTATAGGCAGGATGCGCTAGGGCTGTAAGCAAAAATCGCCAAAAGGTCAAATCGAAAAATCGAACCGTAATCGCATTTTAGAAACCATCGGTTTGATGCCATGTGAACCCGTCAACGAAATGGTTTTGAACCACACCAAATCGGTCAAAAACGGTTTGATTTAGGTTTGAGAATTTTAATTGCGGTTGAAAACCAAACCGGACCGGTGAAAAAATATATAAAAATAAAAAAATAAATTTTTTTGAAAAATCCAAATATGTAAAATTCAATAGTTTTGTCATGTGTCGGTATTTTTGTCAATTTATAATTTTCTATTACATATATATTATTATTACCTAATAATCCTAATTTATATATAATAATCTCAAGACTAACATAATATATCAAAA